GCATGCATGCAACACAGGGTGCACAGACGTGGTGACCAATTTGTGTGTGTTTTGAGATCGGGTCAGCTTTCCGCAAAATCTCCCCACTTGACTAGCCCACCTTCTGCCACATTCGCGTCCCCTAATCCCTGACTGAAAAATGGCCTACATGCACATGCACAAACACACACACACACACACACATACAGACACAGAGACCACGTTGAACGACGAAGGCCGGAGAACCCCGGGCCAGCAAACATCGGAGTCCCGCCGAATGACCTCGACTTCAACACAACTTTCCACTGGTACCCTTCCGCCAGGAAGGAGAGGATCTGCGCTCCTTGAAGGCTCTTGTAGCGCTTGGCAGAAATGGAGCCAAAAGGGTCCTGGTTAAGGCGAATCGTGTCATCCTCTAGTCTCCTCCGCTTGCCGCCTGCCCTACCTCATCATCTTGGCACGCACTTTTCCCCTTTCTGCCCCACTTCTCGATCTTCCTCCTCCATGGACGTCTCCAAAGACTGTTACTGGATGGTATTGGCGATTGCAATTCTGCCAACCCGTTTCTACCTCGTCTCCACACGACCTCGTACTACCCACCCCTCCCAGGGACCGAAACTATCTGTTTATATATCCATCTTCTTTACTTCTTTAATATATATGTACATATATATATTGATATAGTCTCCTCTAGAGGTTATATCCATATATTGATTCCTACTCGTGTATGTACGTATATATATACACATACATATACATATATATATACATATGAAGGGTTGTGATCAACCCTTTTATATACGTCTATGTAATCTTTCCTATTTTTGTTTCGTTTAACTTTTTATTCTGTATCAATTATATTGAATATACATGTCTGGCTTTAGCGCCAGTCTTACTGCAAGAGCTGCGTTGCGCCGGTTTTTGCCCCGCTCTCTCCCCATCTCCCTCAATTCCAGGCACAAACATTAACTTGTTCGACTTTGTGTGTGTCTCTGCTACTGAACGCCTGTCCAGGCGTTTTGGTATCACACCTTCTCTACCCCTCTCTGCATTATGAACCACTCCTATTCCGCTGTCTGTTGTTGCGTCTCTTTTACTGTATGCTTGTGCTTGTGCTTGCGCTTGTGTGTGATTGTATGCGCCTAATTGTGTCCATCACTCTGGACACCAAAATCGTCCTTACACCGAGACGTACACGACCTGAAAGCCTCCTCCATACTTACCTCACCGGCTTATTTCGTTACTGTACCTGTC